ATAGTTTTAACAGGAAATTTCATAGGCAATTTAAACTCAACATGTCTCAAATATAATTTTACATATTTCTCCATCCTTATTGCCCAAAATATCTTCTGTATTTCTATATATTGGTAAATAACATCATAATATACCTAGTTTCTCAAGCTATACATCTCAGATCCACAATGCACTTTAGAAGTTGCCTGTTGATTTCCAAATCTATTCTGTTTTCCCAATATTCACTGTTACTGCATTGATTTATCCTCTTCCTCTTCTTCCAGTAGTGCAGCCTGCTAACTATTTCCTTCCAACTTCAATCTGTGCTGTATAAAACAATTTAGATTATTCACTTAAAAGCATCTTTTGGCTCTTCATTGTCTATATTGCAAAGAATCTTAGGATTATTTGAAAGGGAGGCAAGTCAGAATCTCAAGTGAGTTATCATGTGTATTGTGAAGAAATGTTTTTGTGACTAAAGAAATAGGCAACGAAAAAGTAAAATTGCATGAAATAATCTTGGATGGTTAAGTTAGTTATGAATGAAGGTAGCATGAATGAAGATGTTACATAAGAAGTTAAGGTTTTTTTCCTTTCATCCCCCCTATAAAGTTTTCCATTAATGTTTTGTCAGAATCCTACATTGACAATGTCTATCTACGTTGATGCCTACAAATTTTATTGCAGTCCACAACCTGTGGTCTATTTACACTTTATTCCTGAAACTTGTCATTTCATATCCTTGCTGTAATCATTTCCTATTGTGGCTTTAATAAGTTACCATAAACTTAGAGATTTAAAATAACCCAATTTTTAAATCTTATGATTCTGGAGATCAGATGTTGAAAACGGGTCTAAAATCAAGGTGTTTGGCAGGCTTTTCTTCTGGAGAATGTATGGGAAAAACGATTTCATTGACTTTTCTAGCTCCTAGGGGCCACAAACCTTCATTGTCTCATGGCCTGTTCTTCCATCTTGACAGTGCATAACTTGAACCTCTGACCTTTGTTTCCATCCATATAGTTAATTTTTTCTCTTTCTGAGTCTGATTCTTCTGCTCTCCTTTTGTAAGACAGTTTGTGATTGCTTCAGGCACACCTGAATGATTATCTCCCATCTCAAAATTCTAAACTCAATCACATCTACACAGTCCCTTTGCTATGTAGAGCAACGTATTCAGAAGTTCCAGAGATTGGGACCAAGACATGTTTGGTGAGGGGAAGGGGATGATATTCTGCCTATCACACTGAGTATTTTGCTCATCCTTTGTCCTGGACCCAGAATTTCCTTTCCCTTAGAAAGTTTCTCCTTCATAATCTAGATGAAATACTTCTTCCCCTGGAAGCCCTTTCCTTTGATTTCACCACACCCAGCCTGGAGCAGAATTAATTCATTCCTCCCTCTACTGTCTAAGCACATTATACTGAATAAATGGCAACAGGGCCAGTCTAATTAAACAGGTAAGCATTTGTTTCCTTTATTGGTCTGTGAACCTTTTTTTTTATTAGACTACATTGCATTGTCTTTGTGTCCCCACTGCATTGTAGCAAAACATCTTGTAACTAGCATATGCTCAATAAGTGTTTATGACATGATGGGTTTGAATATCAAAATTGAACTGCAGATAATACCAAACATATCCAGTTTTCTTTTTTTTTTTCAGCTGGCGTTCATTGAGCATTGGAAATCAAAAGTTGTATAAAACTCACATTTACCTTTTAGGGCCTTCCAGTCGAATAGAAAGCTGGTATACACAGAATATTTCAGAAGAAAAGGATGTGAGTGTTAGTAGTATTAATTAATTAGTAGTTCTTGCGATAATAATAAAAATAATAACAATTAACTCCAATAACAGTAATACAAGCAGAAGCTTGCCTATAATTCCAGCACTTAGGGAGGCCAATGCAGGTGGATCACCTGAGATGAGGAGTTTGAAACCAGCCTGGCCAACATGATGAAACCCTGTCCCTACTAAAAATACAAAAATTAGCCGGGTGTGGTGGCGGACACCTGTAATCTCAGCTACTTGGGAGGCTGAGGCAAGAGAGTTGTTTGAATCTGGGAGGCAAAGGTTATAGTGAGCTGAGATGGTGCCACTGCGCTACAGCCTGGATGAAGGAGCAAAACTCAGTTTCAAACAAAAAAACCTGGGAAGCTTTAGCTTGTTGTTTTTTCAATGTGCCAGTACTGTTCTAAGCACTGTGCTCTGTGTACTATTATAATACTTATTTGCAAATAAGGAAATTAGTCCCAGAGAGGTTATTTGTTCCAAATCACAGTTGATAGGTGGCAAAACTGGGATATATAGACTTTCCCCTCTTGACCATCATGATATGCTTATTCTGTATAAGGTTTAGTAGTGGTTTATGTGAAGCCAAATGGCAAATGGTATTGATAGGAAACAGGCAAGTGGTTTCAGGTCCATTCATCCAGAAACTGAAGACGCTTGAAATTAGTTCACCAGTGGTATAAGCAATAAAAAAAATCTTGGAACCTCACTAAATAATTATGTACAGTTTGTATTGCTATTTCTGGGTACACATTTTAATTATGCAACAAGGATAGCAAAGCTTGGATGTCTATGGCTAGATATATTTAATCTGGTTTTCAATTTAAGACACAATAAACTTCCTCAAAGAAGTTTGTAAAGATTATTATAGATTGACTAAGACGTTAAGTCTCTGAAATTCTATGGGTTTCTTTTTGTTTTCCCTAATACACAAAGTTTCAAGAGATTCAATTAAGGATTCTGATATTACCAAATTGATGCTTTCCATACCAATTAATTTTAAGAAATAGAATTGCCAACTAGCTGTATGCTTTATAGAAATGAGTAAGGAAATAGTATTTTGAACAGGAGTAAGGTAATAAGATTGTTAAGCTGAAAGGTCTTGCAGTGTATAGTTGGATCCTGGAGTTTCTTGGGCAGTGCTGATTAAACTCACACTGAGAGAGGAACTGATTCTCACAGCTAACCTGAAGGCTGAAGATATCAACTTGAAGATTTCCTGCAGCTCTAGTTAGTGTGGTGGCTGGAAAATGGAATTCAGGTTTTAGGAATGCATGACTCAATTTGTACTTTAATCTGGCAGTTCATCAGATGTGTCTGATGAATCAGCTCTTTGGACTAGGTTTCACTTATGTCTTAATGTAAATTTAAGGTCTTTGCATAGAAAACTTTAACAGCTTATTATCCCTTAAAGGTGCTGCCATTAAAATAGATTATTCTTCACGCTATTTTACAAATTCACTGATTTTCTGTATAAAATGGTGATGGTGATACTTTGCTACAAGTGAATGGATTTTGCTTTTATTTAGTGAATTAAGATGTGTTTTAACAGAGTTATTAATGTGAGTAAATTAATCAATTAAAACCATTCAGAAATATCCGAATGAGGCTCTGGGAGAACACAAAATGTGACAGTTTTGGCTTTCTCATCTTTAATAAAGTTATAGTGATTGAAACCTGGATATGATCAGTCCTCAAATGTCTTGCAACGAAACTTATGCTGTCATAAGTTGACAATATATTTGAACTGTATTCCGATTTGCCACTTTTTGAAAGTTGGCCTGTCAGCTCTATCAGTCTTATACAGAAAGAAAAGAAGCAGGGAGTAGAATGGTGGTTGCCAGGGGCTGGAATGGGATGAAGAAAAAAGGGGAGATGTTGGTCAGAGGGTATAAACTTGCAGATATACAATGAGTACATTCTGGTGATCTAATCTACAGCTTGTTGACTATAGTTAATGATACTATATTGTATACTTAAAATTTGTTGAGTGTAGATCTTAAGTCTTACAACACACAAAAATATACCAACTATGTCAGTTGAAGGATGTGTTAGCTAACTTTATTGGGATAATTATTTCACTATATATGTATATCAAAACACATGGTGCATTTTAAACATATACAACTTTGTGAATTATACCTCAATAAAGCTGAGACACAGAATGATGATTTTCTGAGGAAGACAACGTTCATTTATTTAATTTCAAATGAAATATCTCTCCTTTAGAAATCCAAACACACTAGGTTTCTGTCCCTTCTTGTATCCCTCTGCAAGCCTTATAATAGAAAAAAATAATTTTTTTGGTAGCTTCATTGAGTGTTTCTTCTTCCTCCTCCTCCTCCTCCTCTTCCTCCTCCTCTTCTTCCTCTTCCTCTTTTTGGTTCAGTGTCTCACTTTGTTTTTCAGGCTGGAGTACAGTGACAGAATCTCAGTTCCCTGCAGCCTTCACCTCCCAGGCTCAAGCCATCTTCCTACATCAGACTCCCAAGTTGCTGGGACTATAGGTGCACTCCACCATGCCCAGCTGTGTGTGTGTGTGTGTGTGTGTGTGTGTGTGTGTGTGTTGTAGTAATGGGGGTTTGGCCATGTTGCCCAGGCTGGTCTCAAACTCCCGGGCTCAAGGGATCTGCCTGCTTCAGCCTCCCAAAGTGCTGGGATTACAGGCATAGCCACTGTGCTTGGCCAGAGTGTACATTCTTTTAATAAAAACAAAAGTCTTAAAATTCTCTTAAAGTGTCTTTAGAGATTTTTGAAAGAAAATATAAAATCACAATTAAATATTTTGAGGCATACAGTTTATGATTTAATCTCCACTTGAAAAATGACACTGAATAAAATCACATTCTATTATACCATGGAATGTTAAAAATATCAGTTTGGATGATTTATAGTGAGATAAATTGTTAGTGAAATAATTCTTTTGAAGGGATCATTTCCACTTATTTAAATACAACTAGGGCCTTTAAATTAAAAAAATCCAAAACCCCAAGTGAACATAAGATTTTAAAGCATTTTGGGGGTGACAGCTATAGAGGCATAATTTTGGTATTACTGGTTTTGATTTAACTTAGGAACCACAGCATATGGGAAAATATAATAGAAATCCTGTTTATCTCCTTTCCTTTTGTGTAATTCATTGCACCAATCATGTTTGATCAAAGTCATGAAACTTTTATAATATTGTTATCTATTTTTAAAACATGTATGTTTTTCTTAATCTTTGCTTTAGGGAACAGCCTTTAAAAGCTGGAAGATGAAAGCTCCGATTCCACACTTGATTCTCTTATATGCTACTTTTACTCAGAGTTTGAAGGTTGTGACCAAAAGAGGCTCCGGTAAGCAGTATTCCTCTATTTTTTTAACTGTTTTTTTAATAGCTTAACGTGATAGTGCTACATTTACACATGTGCCATTTGTGGAAAAGTTGAGAATGATCAGTTACCCATACTGTAGAGAGATTATGAGTAAATAGGTGGAGTGTACTGATAGGGAATTAGAAAAGTGAGAGTGGATTCAAAAGAATGTGGCTTATTTTGTTAATTAGTATGAATTGGCATGGATTCAATAGCAAAAGCTTGTATTTAGATTTCATTTTGTTGTAGGATTTTAAGTATTCTTATATAAACAGTGTTATTTAATTTTTTGCATGTAAATATTATTGTATCATTGATGTTAACTTTTATTGTTACCATATTGATGTTAGCTATGCCTAGGGAAGGTTCTTTTCAGGGTTGTACTCCAGCTGATTTGATGAATTGCTTGGATGTATTTAAAGAAAACAATAGTTTTATTGAAGAAAATGTTATGAGGAAGCACTAATATTTTAATAGGAAATATAGAGGCAAAGTAGAATGGTCATGAAAGGAACTGCTAAGTAGATTAATGTTGGCATTTATGAAAAACTTTACATGTTATCAGGCATCTTGGTTTGTAGTGGACTATTGATACTTTGATTGTGTGGGACAATTGAATAAATACCATTATCAATATGAATTTGTATCTCATCTAGTAAGTCACTAATAATATAAAGCCTTGTCATGCTCACACCATGTGGAGTCATGTAATTGTTGAAGTTATAGCTTTTAGGCATAAAGGAAGAAGAAGGATATTGTGTTTTGTTGCTAGAATTAGAATGTATTGTCTGTTAGTTCCAGAGAGACTGTGGGAAAAAGCAGATGAGATAATGTACAAGAGGTTGCAGTGTTGTGATATAAGCAATTGCATGGACAAAAGCATCTTTGGAATTCAGAAAGCAAAGGGAATGAAAGGTCTGAGATGGGGCTGTGAAACTACCGTCTTAGTCCTTGAGGTTAAAAAACTTCAAACTCACTTTGATGAAATAATGAAAAAGCCTACACGCAGGAGAAATAGGGAGCAGCTCTGCTCTTGTGAGCCCCTCCTGGGGATAAAGTTTGGAGGGAAATTGCGGAGGGCATTGTGCATGGACAAAGGTTTGGTGCATGGTTGAAGGTTAAAAAAAAATACTGAGGCTGTTGGTTCTAGCATATTTGGTTATTATACAGCTGTTGTTACAGGCAATGCGAAAAAATACTGTTTCTGTTTCTACATGTGATTTTATATCTTCTTCTCACTGGATCTTTTTGAATGAGATTAAACCCTAGGGTAGGATTATGAAATACTGGTTTATGTAATTCAAATGGGTTAATGGGAAATAACATATCTTGATTTCTTTCATAGTATTATGCTCAAGTACAATTAAGCATAACCAAGAGAGTTAGAGTAGGTAAAAGGGGAAGTAAATAGTGATGAAAGCTGCTAATTTTTACAACATTGATGTTTTCTGGAATAGAAATTTACATTACAATCACTTAACAAAGATTTTTGAGACAGTAGCTATATAGAAGAGAAATACTCATTTGTATAAGTATTATAACAAAATGACAATAGTTCATCTGAAATAGAAATATTAATTCTTTAAAACTTTATTTTTCTGGTTATTACCTCTAATTACATAAAATCTGTTTTTCCAGTTCTTTCTGTGTATGTCAGATCTATGATTTATTGAAATATAAATGTTACTCCTTTTTAATCATAATGTAATATGTCCATTCTATATAACCTCTGATTTGAGGGCAAGACATTTTATCAAACTGGGACTTCATAAATGCAAATATTAAAATATCTCAAAAATCTGTGTTAAGTGATTTTAATGTAAATGTCTATTCTAGAAGACATCATTGTTGTAAAAATTATCTGCTCTGAAGACTTGAGAAAACTCAATAATCTGTCTCAAATTCAGTTTTAATTTTATAATTATTTTAGAAGAATGGTAATAAGATGCTTTAAGTTAAGCAGAAGTTCTGAGACCTCTTTTCAATTTATGAATACAGTTGTCACATAATTATGTAATATGTCCTGAACCAAATGTGTTTTCAACATTATAGTGTAAAAAGGACAAGGCAGGTATTGGGATTTTGCAGCATACCTGATTTGTTTACTTTTCTATATAATGTAAATTAACATACCATCCCCTAGTTTCTGTATTAAGATCCAGATGGAGGGAGGCTTGTTTGTTTGATTTTGGGATATTAAATGTACAGTTTGGGAATGACTAATATTGTTCTATCCATATACTTTTATAGCTTGCACTTATATCAGCTGATGTCTGTTCCCATGGCACCTTTGTTTGAGAGAATCATATATGTAGCTTATTGAATAGTGTCATTACTGATCTCCATACATCAAGTAGAAGAGGATTGCATTTGGCATCTTTTCCTTAAAAGATTAATGGCTCAATCTTCACACCCAGCCCAACCTATAAAACCAGCAGCACCAGAGCTAGGAGATAAAAATCAATTTTTAATGTTGATTTTGCAAATTAACCAAGAGGACTTTTTATCCTTCTTCTTTCCTCTTATCATTTAATTCTTTTTTGATTCTTTATGTTATTAATCTTTTTGAAAGGTTAGTAGACATGATTCAAAACCTGAAGCTTTTCATGTGTCTTTTACTACAATATTATTTTTAGTTCATGGTGACCCCTAGAGAACCAGAACTAGATATTTTAATAATTAGGAATATATACAATATTATATTACACAGAGAAATACTGAATTTTTATGGCATGTTAATTTTGTATACTGTTTACTTTAGATTAGCACATATGGTCATTCCATAAAAATTTAAAAGTAGATATTTGTTTTTCATTAACAGAACTAATTTGAAAGCAATAGGAGTTCTTTTTACACAAGCTGGAAATGCATTATTTTTATCACATTGGTTTACACTCCCATTGCTATTAATTTAAGGAACAAATTAAGTATAATAAGGCAGTTATATCATTATAACATCCTTGACTGAAAAAATGCAACTTTGTAACATTTTGTTTTAAATATCACTTCAGATATGTACAGTATGTTATGACAATTAAGGACTGAATCTGGTCTCTCAGGTAACGTCCTAGAGTTGTGCCTACATTTAGAATCAAGACTTTTAATATCTATTGAGGCAGATAGTCAGCCTTTGTTACATGACAGGTTTATCCTGGGATAATTCCAAACCTATTTTTTTAGTTTTTATAGGTAGCACTTGATGAAAGATGCTAAGACAACCAATACTACCAATCCCTCTTAAGCATGTGAAATATTATGGCAATTCAATAGGTAAACATTTCAGTTGCTGTCATTTGTAGAATTCTGAAAAACCGACAAACAAAAAGTAAAACATATGTACAGCAAATGCTTGCTAAGAGAATCTTTGTATCTTAACCAGTTGAGAAAATTTAGCTTTGCATTCTTGTTTCGTGGCCCCTTTCTTCCTTAATTCTTTCCTCCTTTCTTTCTCTTTTTGTTCTTTACTTCCATCCTTCCTTTCTTCCTCCTGTCCTTTTTCTCTGTGAGTATATTTATCTGCAAATAAAAGGAATTTATTTTTATATTCCCACTGTGTCTTGGTGTAGGACTTTTCAAACTATAAAAATATTATTATTATTTTGTCTGCATGGTTAAGGCATTTGAATGTATTTTTACATGACCATTCAAAGAGGTTAGCATAGTCTCTATTAATAATAGCTATTCTTAAATATATACATTTAAAAATTGTATATAACTAAGAATCTGGAGTAAGATTTGGGAGCAGGGAAATAGTTTAAATAGTTGAAGGACAGTTATGAACAAAGTATGACTATAGTACCTTGGGGAGACTAAAGAGTGCATTGTAATTTGAAAAGTTTGGGATACTGAAGAAAAATGAAGCTAGAGGCGTCTGGATGTACAAATTAGGTAAAAGAAGGGGTTCCATGATGGTTTACTCTCAAAACATCTTCAGAATATAAGACAGTGAGTGCAAGGACGATGATTAATGTGTGCTTATAATCTCTACAGTGCTAAATATACTGTTTCAGAGTCAGGGTTCAAGGAAATGTCTTAATGAATTAATGACTGCATGAATGGGTGAGTGGTTTTAATATTCAGAATTACATCAGTGAAGATGCTACAGGACCAAAACAATATTAGAAAGTTAAAGGTAAAATTAAGTAGAGGCATTTAAGAAAAATGTTTTTTTCTTAAAAAGCAATCAGTATAATGTATAATGTAACACTACTGAAGCAAAAGACACAACTCAGAATAAGCAATATCTAGGAAATGATAAAGGTTTAGATGAAGATAATGTTTACAAATTGGGGGTGTTTTCATTGGGTTGAAATGCAGTTGAAAATCTGTTAAAGGGTAAGGAAAATGATTCTTCAAGTATTTTTCTATTGGAATTTTGCTGCATTTAGCTCTGCTTTAAAGAAGTACTAATGCCATTGTACAGAAGTTTTGGATTTAATGGTATTGTTCCATAATGGCCATTATGAAAAGGTTGAGCTCATGATTACTAATACAGGATAAATAAGCAAGTGACTTCACTATAGACAAAAAGTATTCAGTTATTAGAGCATATGGAGAAGAGTAAGTGGATGCATTACCAAAAAGCACATGTTATTTTAGAAGGGATTTAAACTATATAAAAGCTCCCTAAAGCAGCCAGCTACTAGAGAGTAAAAGGGTTACCACAGGGAGTTGATATTCTCTTCATTCTAGAACCTGACAGGGGACACCTGTTTGTGTAAAATGATTTAGATGCAATTCTTCTTGACAGCAAGAGAAAGGCAAGCCTCAAGAGGTTTTCCTAAACTTGTGACTCAAGGCCCAAATAATTTATAAAAGGTAGGAATAGCAAAATAACAAAAGACACAGTTTTGGTTCCAATTTTTGTCTTGTTACCTATGGATATTCATTTAAGTGAAAGAAATTATGCTACTGTGTAAAGAAAGTGTGATTTAACTGAGTAGGGATGAGAAAGTCTAGTGGGGGTACTTCCACCTCATGTC